AAAAAAAAAAAAAAAAAGGTCAGCTGATTTTGCAGTTCTGTGTCTAAATGAACTTTAAGAAATGTATTGTGTGCTCACTGGTCTGCGGTAATTGTTTTAGAACTCCTTGGATTAAGATACTCCTTTTGGAATGACTGTAGGGGTAAAAAATATTGTCTTAGGTTCTGAATCTAACGTTTTCAGATCCATCTGTGTACAGATGGCTGAGTAGCTTCTCTTTTCATGAAATATTCAATGCTTTTTTTTCAGCTGGAAAAAATCTAAAGTAATTTTGAATCATTCAATATCCAGTTCTTTTTATATTTAGTCAAGTGAGTTGGGCTTTTTAAAGTGTTATCTATACACAGCAGCAAATAATAAAACTAAAGGAAATAGAAATGACACTATAGAAGGTCCAATTAAGTCTGAAGGTATATTAATTTAGAGACAAGGAAGCCAGCTTTTAGTTTTAAAACAAAATGAAACTCTAGGTAACTATTCTTTAGGGGAAATGCAAAAAACCAAAATCCTCAGATTTTTTTTGATAATTTTTTGTTTGTTTGTTTAGGCTGTGGGGAATCTCTCCAGGGGGAGCTAAAGCTCATTTGAGACATCTAATTATACAAAAGATTTGTCCAATTTAATAGAAAAATCTTTCAGTGGCAGAGGAATTAACTGAATTAATTTTAGGCTCTGATTCTGTAAAAGAATCTGAAATGGGGGACCCTGAGGCCTATTCTCAGTCATTTAAGGCAATTAAAATTTTGGGATGCTCAGTTAGGATAGAGATTATCACAACTACAGGATGCAATGTGTAAAATGATGTGTTGAATTGGAGCTTACTGTTTGTTTGTTTTCTCACCCATAGCTCTTTCCTACATAAAGGAGTTTTCTGTTGCATTTGGCTTAATGCTCGTGAGCTGGCTCTCCACATCGGTGACTGTCGTTATTGTAGCACTGTTCATTTCTCTCATTGGGCGATCTCTTTTCTGGTATTCCCACTTCTATGTCTCTGTCTTTTTATATGGAACTGCAGCTGCAGCTAAACTAATCCTTGTGCACACATTAGCAAAGAAGTTTTATTATAAGGTAAGTATATTTATAGTCTACTGCTTGTTGACAAATGTTAAAATAGGAACTGATATTACTGGTGATGGGGTGGATTTGAAAGAGTTGTAAGAAGTTAACACTAACTTACAAGTAAGTTGGTTTTATTGTCTCAGAAGATGCATAAAGATTTGTTAGCCTCGAAGACTTATTTGAAGGAGGGTTTTTTTTCTCTTTTTTAAAGGATAGGAATTGCCATGTTGAATTACAGTTTGGTTAGTCTGGTATTCTGGTTCTGACTATGGCCTATATCATTTGCTTCAGGGGAAGGTGCAAGGACATTATAGAAAGCTGGTGTGGGATAATTCTGTTTCTTTCCCCAATGTACACGTTGGGTCTCAAACTATCAGAGGTCATGATGAGATTAGTTTTGGGTCCTGAAGCAAGAAATTTAATAGTCTTTTCTACGTTCTTAGTACTTAAATTCTGATAAGTACAGCTATTCTTTTTCTTGTTGTTCTTTGAACCTTGGAAAACTTCTGCCTTCAAATGACATCCAGGCCACAACTATTGCCTTTGTTGTTGATCTTTCTTTCTTTCTTTCTTTCTTTTATTTATTTATTTTAATTTTTCCTTCTTAATTTCCTGAATGTGTCCTTATCGGTCTCATGAGACAGGGAGAATGGATGTTCCCAGTATATATCATTCACTGTTTTATTTACTTCAGTCATATCCACTCGTTTTTTTTCCCCCATGCTCGTGATCATTCTCTTTGTCCTTCCCTGATTTTCTAGGTTTGCAATATCTTCAGTTTTGTGCTGTACTGCCTAGTGCTATATTCTAAGTGAGGTTGTACTATTACTTGGGCCTGTGCTGCCCCAAAAATTCCTGGCAGGATAAGGCTACTTAAGCCTGCCCAACTTTTCCTTGTAGATCTCTGGAAGTGGGGGAAGCTGAAACATTTTGGTTCCATATGTGGTCTTGGAGCTGGGGCTGCCAGTCAGCTGATTGGCCATCTCAGCCCTGGGACCACACTGAAGTATAGAACTTCCTGGCTGGCCACACCAGCATACAGTATACACCCATTGAACACATCGGGGCAAGCCACTGGCCTCACCCTGGGCTCCACGCCATGTGGGCACCCATGCCTCCCCCACTGCACTGTTCCCTACCCACCCACACCCACACTGCAGAGAAGCTGCCCCCACCCCCAGTTGCACCACGCAGTCCTGGGATCACCCTTGTTTCCCATGGCTGTGCCATACTGCACTGCTCCTACTGCAGTAGGGTCAGGCAGTGAAAGCCAGAGGAGGGAGAGAAAGCCTGAAGACTTCAGCTATTCTTGCAGCTTGAGTGATGGGAAGAGTCACAGGTGGGAAGGAGCCTGAAGGCTACAGCTTAACCCCCTGTGGGCCACAAGTTGGACAGCCCAAATATTAAGTTAAAAATTGAATTTCTTTATTGAAAGCATTAAATCTTACAATGTATGGCCTTTATCTTGGGTATGTTAGGTCAAGCTCTTCAGACTTTGTTTCTAACAAGTATCTTAGCCTGTTGTTACATGTGATGAATCATGATTTATTCTGTCTTCTGGAAGTTCTGCTCTATGTAATGGCATGAAAATTCCTGGAAGCTGATCTATCATTTGGCTGTCATAGGTATCTGGCTGATTTAGAATGTAGTACACTTTAATGCTAATGGCTCAGTAACTCTTGAATTCATAGAATTATAAAAAAAAAAAAGGTAGTGGCTAGATCGCATCCCTGTCAGCTGGGGCTTCCTTCCTAGGGCAGGGACAGTAGCTGCCCACAAGGAACCTTCCCTCACTGGTCTCAGCCACCCCAGGAGGCATGGCCAGCACACAGCATGCCCACACTCCAAACCCAAGTCCCAATTTATTAAACCATAAGACCTTCTTTAATTTATTTTCCCTTTCCTTGCAACCCCTGCTTAGTGCTCTTAATTGGTTCCTGAAAAACTGATCATTAAGTGAAATGAGCA